CTAAGTGTTACTTTTTGGTCACTTTATATGCTTATGTATAAATTGAACCTCAGAGGTAAAGTTCTGATCCAGATTTGAAGGGCGTCTGAAGGCCATAGGTTGGGCTAAAGTTCACCCAGTCTCTGTTGGATCGGTATGCCTCTGCCAGGTACCCTCAGAGATGTTGTGCATGGATGTGGTGTAGTAGGTCTGTTTTTCAAAATGGCTTTCCTTTATTATTGCCCTTGACTTTTCACATGGCTGGGCATGAACATGCAAACCAAGTGTATTCATCTCTCCATGAGAGGATTGGACACTTTCATCATTCCATCAGATTTGAGCTCAACAGTTCAGCAGCAGAAAGAGGGAATCTCCCTGTCAGCAAGAAAGCAGCAGCAGAACGGCACATCTTTTTTTTTTTTTTTTTACTGTAAACATTATCTAATTAGGTTTTATACGAGTAATCTAAAATACCAATTTGTGAGGATAAACCCCTTGGTGAGGGAGAGTAAAGAACGCAGGTGGCTTTTGAGCTGAGGAACGGCTCCGATTTTGGGTAAAACCTGGGAGTCCACAGCTTTCTAATCAACCTTGCCCTGCTCGGTAATCTCTTATTTCTCCTCTGTGTCAAAGATCTCACACACCTGGTGGTGGGGCTTCCACAGTTTCTTCTTAAAGTAAGTGTTAGTGAGATGCTTTGGGATCAACATTAGTGGAGGTGACAATGACAAATTTCTGGTGTGTTCTCTGCAGAGGAACGGGATTGAGGGTCAGAGGCCTAGTCATAAGGAGCAAACCACTATCCAGCTGCTTCAGGAAACCACTCTCTTGCCCGGGTGGTGCCCTGTGAGGATGACCAGAACGGTCCCGGGGTGATACTCCCGTGTAGCCTCCTCATGTGCTCAGTGAAGGGCTTTTTGCCAGGGCTTAGCAGCTTCCGAGGCACATCTTCAGTAGGGTAATACCTGGGTATTTTATTGATTTCACCACTCAGGTACCACCGTTCTTGTCACCACCTACTGGTTTTTGTTGTTTTTTTTAAAATTGTAACACTTCTTGCTGATCTTCTCTGTATCGTTCCAATTTTAGTATATGTGCTGCCGAAGGGAGCACCACCTACTGGTTTTGTGACAGTAGCAAGAACCTTCTCCTTCTTTTCAACCCTGGATTTAGTGGCCGAGTACTTCCTCTTGTACATGGCTTTCCTGGAATACATGGCCTATTGGGAATACCTGCTGATTCCCTAGGCTAGGACAGGATTGAGGCTGCTGTGGGGTTTCCCCTTCTTGGGTATTTTGCCTGTGCCCTTGGGCTTGGCTTTTTTAGTTTAGCCACTAGCATCTGCCTTCTTGGCTTCAGGCTTGATCTCAGGCTTTTTCTCCTTAGGGCCCAGCTTTTCACCTGCCTTCTTGCAAGATGGGGAAAAAACAGAACTGCACATCTTTGGCAGCCAGATATTTTTCTGCACCAGCCAGATCTAGCCTTTCAGGAGAGGAGCAGCAACCAGAGCAGAGATCCAGAGATCTTTCATGAACTAGAACTGACCTGAGACTGCTGTGCCATTGAACCAGAGACCAATGTCTTTGCCTAAGCTTGCTGGAGTACTTGAGTCTGGGAGAGATGCCAGAATTCGTAGGGCTTAGAGAGCTTTTTAATACTGGCCTAAGGCTGCTAGGTTTAAGGTTGAAGGACCAGTGAGCGTGCTTCAGAAAATGTCCTGACAGGGAAATTGTATCCTTTTCCAGCCTGACTTGTGACATGCTAATGTCTCTAATAGATCCCATAATTGAGAGTGTAGCTGTGTGAGGTTGGTGAAGGAAGTTAAGTGGTATTTCCTTAAGAACAGACAAGATTCCATTCGGAGCCCAGCAGGGTACTAGCAGATATTTGGTAAATATGAAGGGGGCATTATCCTCATGATGATAACTTACTAAAAGTAATTTCATTTGGGAAGAATTTGTCTTAAGTCAGTCCACTTTATAGGTAAGTACAACTATCCCTTGACAGTAGTTTTACCAAGAAAGTAATAAATAACTCTGCTATCAAAGATTTCTTTAAAGTAGTAAAGAGCAAGGATGTTAGTACAGTGACTAAGGTGTACTAGATATAAGCCATGGTATTTTCAGGTGCTTCATAAATACCAGAGAGTTGTGGAGTGAATAAAGAACTCTGAACAATTGTTGCCTTTGAATTGTGGTTTTGATGAAGAGTATCGAATATTCCGTGGACTGCTAAAAGAACAAACAAACCTGTCTTGAATGAAGTACAGCCAGGGTGCTGCTTTGGAAGCATGGATGGTGAGACTTGATCTCACATACTTTGGGTGTGTTGTCAGGAAGGGCCAGTCTCTGGAAAAGGACATCCTTCTTGAAAAAGTGGAGGACCAGCAAAAAAGAGTAAGACCCTCAACACGATGAGCTGACACAGGGACAGCAACAGTAGGCTTGAACATAGTTGCAATTAGGAGGATGGTACAGGATAGGGAAGGCTTTGATCCATTGCACTCTGGGTCAGTGTGACTCAGAGTCGACTTAGTGGTATCCAACCACAATAATCACATACAGTGTACACCAACCGAGTGTTAAATAATATAGTGGCTGTTTAAGCATAGTCTAGTCATTTATCATTAATATGATCTAGAATGCATTGACACATATGCTCCAGTTATGAGTTTTGGGGGTTTTGGTTATTATATATCTATATAATGTTTACAGCAAACAATCTGGTAAGCACTCAGTGAAGGAAGTTAAGTGATACTTCCTTAAGAACAGACAAGATTCCATTCACAGCCCAGCAGGATAATAGCAGATATTTGGTGAGATTGTTCACAGCTGTAGTTTGCTTGGCTCCACAGTCAACACTCTTGGCACCAGTAGCCAGGAAATGAAAAAGTACTGAAGAGCAGTGGTGTCTCTCTGGAGACTAAGGTGCGTCTGATATAGGTCATGGTCTTTGCTATCACTTGTTATGCATCAGAGAGTTGGACAATGACTAAGGAGTATAGAAGGAGAATTGATGCCTTTGAGCTGTGGTGCTGGAGAAGAGTATTGAGGGTAGATGGTATACCAATTGAAGGATTTCAGATAACAGATGTTGCCCTGGATGTGCTCACCAAGTTGTGCCAAGAAATCTGGAGAACAACCACTTGGCCAACTGACTGGAAGAGATCTATATTTCTTCCCATTCCAAAGAAAGGTGACCCAACTGAGTGTGGAAACTATAGAACAGTGAGATTGATTTCACATGCAAGCAAGATTCTACTGAAGATTATCCAAAACTGATTAGAACAGCACATCAGCAGAGAACTTCCAGAAGTCCAGGCTGGGTTTAGAAGGGGTCGTGGTACTAGGGATATTGTTGCTGATGTTAGATGGATCTTGGCTGAAAGCAGAGAATACCCGAAGAATGTCTATCTGTGTTTCATTGATTATGCAAAGGCATTTGACTGTGTGGATCATAACAAACTGTGGCTGACTCTGAGAAGAATGGGAATCCCAGAACATTTAATTGTGCTAATACGAAACCTATACTTGGACCAAGAGACAGTAGTCAGAACAGAGCAGGGTAACACTGCATGGTACAAAATTGGGAAGGGTGTACGCCAGGGATGCATCCTGTCTCCATACCTTTTCAACATGTATGCAGAGCAGATTATCAGAGAGGCTGGGCTCTATGAGGAGAATTGTGGCATCAGGATTGGTGGAAGATCTATTAACAATCTGCGTTATGCAGATGACACAACCTTGCTTGCTGAAACTGAGGAGGACCTCATGCACTTGCTGCGAAGGGTCAAGGACTGCAGCCTTCAGTATGGACTGAGGCTCAATGTCAAGAAGACAAAGATTCTCACCACTGGACCAATTGGCAGCATCAGGATGGATGGCGAAGAGATTGAGATTGTTCACAGCTTCAGTTTGCTCACCTCCACAGTCAACACTCTTGGCACCAGCAATCAGGAAATCAAAAAGTGTATTGCGATGGGAAAGTCTGCTGTTAGGGACCTCTCTAAAGTACTCAGGAGCAACGGTGTCTCTCTGGAGACTAAGGTGCGCCTGACACAGGCCATGGTCTTTGCAACCGCTTGTTGTGCATCAGAGAGTTGGACAATGACCAGGGAGAGTTGATGCTTTTGAGCTGTGGTGCTGGAGAGGAGTACTGAATGTACCATGGACTGCCAGGAAAACAAACAGATTCATATTGGAGAGGATTAAACCAAGCTACTCCTTGGAGGCAAGGATTCTGGGGCTTCGTCTGACATACTTTGGACATGTTGCCAGGAGGGACGGGTCCTTGGAGAGGGACATCATGCTTGGGAGGGTGGAGGGACAGCGCAGGAGGGGAAGACCCTCTATGAGATGGATTGATTCGGTGACTGGGGTAATCGGGATGGGTGTGTCAGAGGCAGTGCGGTTGGCGCAGGATAGAGCAGGGTTTAGGGCTGTTGTGCATAGGGTCGCTATGAGTCGCAAACCACTCGACAGCACATAACAACAACAACATGGATTGCTAGGAAAACAGATTCATCCTGGAAAGGGTTAAACCAGGAAGCTCCTTGGAGGCAAGGATTCTGAGGCTCTGTCTATCATACTTTGGACATGTTGTAAGGCGGGACCAGTCCTTGGAGAGGGACATCATGCTTGGTAGGGTGGAGGGACAGTGCAGGAGGGAAAGGCCCTCTATGAGGTGGGTTGATTCAGGGACTGGAGTAATTGGGATGGGAGTGTCAGAGACAGTACAATTGGCACGGGACAGAACAGAGTTTAGGGCTGTTGTACATAGGGTCGCTATGCGTCTTAAGCGACTCGACAGCATATATCAACAACAACAACATGCTGAAATACTGTTTGTCCACCCAGGGGTAGTGACTATCTCATATGTATCACTTGTAGTTCCTGTCATCCTAAGACAGTGCTGGATATTCCAGTAGGCCTTTATTGATTTTTTTTTTTTTTTATGATATGTGTCATGCAGTGAGAATATCTAGGATATGAAAATTTCAGTTCTTTAAAATAGTACCTTCTATGTATTCAGGTATTTCTTTAGGTATTATGATGGCATTATTCTAAGTGGTATAGCATTGGTCTGTGCATTGCTGTACAGAGGTAACTCGTGGTTGCTGTGATACTGAACACTGTGACACTGATGTGCCAAATGTGGTAATGATTACTCATGGTGGACTGTGTTTGCTGGAGCTTCCCGGCTAAAACAAGCCTGGAAGCAGAAGTGCCTGTGGAAACTCAATGAACAGTGCTCAGACCTTTCATTCATAGGGTTGCTATGAGTTGTCTACGACTCGACATCACCTAACAACAACTTAATGATGACAAAGAACATAAATTAACTGTTGAAGACTTAGTGAATCAAATTAAACAGAATTGTTTAAATATTTTACAGGTATTCTGTTGTATAGCATTAGATAGTGCATACAAGAAAAGGATGAAAATATTTCCTGTACCTGTAGAGTATACAACATATTTTCCTTTTTTTTTATATGCTGGTTTATTTACAAAGTGTGCATACATTGTTTTTCACAATGAATCTTTCCCATTTGCTTTACCCACCTCTCCCTCCACCCATCAGATTGTGCGACCATATGATTAACCACCCTCGCACCTGTCCATCCTTACCGCTCTGTATATCTAAACCCATAAATACACTGTGGTGTGTAGTCATGTTGTATTGCTAACTGAAAAGTCAGTGGATTTGAGTCTACCAGCTGCTCCCTAGGGAGAAAGATGAGCAGCTTCCCCATCCAATGTTGGAAACCCAATGGAGGGTCACCACTGAGTTAGAATGGACTTCTCATTGATGGTTTTTATTTCCCTCCCAGTGTTAACTACTGGGCAAATAGAATTTTGTTTCTAAAAAGAAAAGTAAAATAATTGTAAATCTACTTCGTAGAGACAGTGGATAGGATCTATTTCTGAGCATATTATGGTTATCACAAGAGTCCACAATTAAGGTTGCATAGTGGAATGTACTTGGGGCGGTGGGAGGGGTGCGGGGGGATTTTGTACCAGGGAGAGAGTGTTTATTTTACTTTTCAAAGAGAGGAGCGAACTGGGGTGGGA